ACAAGAAGCTATGATTGGGAGAACCTAAGTATACTAGGATTACTTTGCAATTAGCAGATAGGTTTATCAAAATTCCGGTTAGAATAATAGAAAATGTACTAGTTAAGGTTGATAAGTTTATATTTTCAGTAAACTTTGCGATCTTAGATATGGAAGAGGACTTTGAAATACCAATTATCCTTAGAAGACCATTTCTAGCAACTGTTAGAGGTTTAATTGATGTTCATGATGGTAAATTGACTCTTAGGGTACTTGATGAGGAAATTACTTTTTATATATCTAAATCCATAAAATATACGCATACTTTATATGATACTTGTTTTATGATTGATATACTTGATTCGATCGTGTAAGGTGTTTTTTTAGAAAAATTACTTTAAAAATGCATTAGAATAAGATATCATGATTGGAGAAAGTAATGACATTAAGAATGAAGAAGTTAATGAGCAAATAACTTTGCTAAAAGTGAGACCTCAGTTTAATGCACCAAGGAACTTCATATTTAAGGAGATTCATAGCTTTAGTGAAGAGAAAGACAAACCATTAACTAAGGAACCACCAAACAAATTGAAATCAAGGTGGTCGAGGCCTATAGATAAGGTTGAGCCTAGCTCTCCCCAGGCCAATATAGGAGCAGTTCCTAATTCAAGTTCCATCATAGAGGAGAGATTAGAACAGCTAAGTAGGGAGCAAGAAAGAACTGAAGAACGCCAAAGACAAATAGGGCATTATATGATGGTGTACTTTCAACATATAGGATTCCAGCCCCCACCCTACTCAACATAAGACAATTAGTCTCATTTTTATTTTATTTTATTTTTATTTTCAATTTTTTTATTTGTTTTTCAGTCTATCTTTACTTTTTATATCTTTTAGTTCCCTTCTCTCATTTACCACTAATTTACTTGTTTAGTTTTCCTTTAGTATTTGTCGATATATTTTTAGGTTTTTTGCAAACTTCACCAAGGTTGCGTGGATGCTACTCTATCAAAATTTTTGGAAATTTTGTTTCTTTTGTCGTCACTATCTTTCATCTTTCTGCTTTGTGAACTATGGGGAGATAGTCACAATTAAGTGTGGAAGAGTGGTATTCTAATTCTTTATATTTGTTGTTATCCTCTAAATCTTAATAAAGTTTCATGTTTTGATCTTAATGTGTCATGTTGCATCATGACTGCCTATAATGATAATTATGGCATTAAACCTATATGTACTAAGATAAGAATGTTTGTGGAAACAGTTTAGCAATAGAAGTATTTAACCTTTTTAGTTTATTCAAGTTTTAAGGGTTTAGAATCTTTTACATCTTATGAGTTGTGAAATTCGTTCTTTTGTCTAAACTAAATAATTCTTTACAAAAGTAAGCTTATTTTAGTATAGAATTAGATATATATGTATGCAAAAAAAAAAATACTCCGTTAATCACTCAATTTTACATCACCAAGGAGCGTAGCTTAGCGGTTCGGTGATATGCTAGATTAACCAGAGGTCTCAATTTTAAGTCATGGGAACCCAGTTGCCTTTGATAGGGAGGGCTTACTCCTTAGTGGACTGATGTAGCTCGAAAAATAAAATATTAATTATGAGTAGAGCGGTCATTTGGAAGTGTGACCAACTGAGTAACCGGGGGCTAGCATTACCAATGTCTACACTCACGTAATAAGTTTACTGACATTCCGAACAACTAATCACGTGCTTCAAAAAAAAGTAAAATAAAGTTACTGTATGCCTACTCTTTTGCCAACTGAGCTTGATTAAGTTTTGGAT